TGGTTACCAACTTATGTCTTATAAAGTCAAGATTAAATGAGGGGAAAATCAGGGCATTCTTTACTTAAAGATGCTTATTTAAGTAACACAATGGTTAGCTGGTACTTGAAAATGACTGGAGAAGTTGTATTAGATGACAATTACTGGATGTCAAAATCAGACTGTTTTTGATCTGGCTATATTGATAACTTTTTTTCTTTTAAGATATTGACTGATGGCAATATATCTGTTCATGGCTGTAAGGATACTATATAAGTCTAATCTCTTCTAAATATTATCTGAGGAAAATCAATTTAAAAAAAGGAACAGATACTGTTATTTGTCTAACGGAAACTGTTTTAGATGTGATGTACAATGTCAGGAAAAAAAAAAAAAAACCTTAAAAAGGATCAAGTGATTTATAGCCTCTGAGAGACATATAAATGTCTTCCCAGATTTAGACCTCATCCTGTTCTCAAGTGTATCTGAAATAGAAATTTCTATTCTTTTTTCAAAGAAAAAATAAAATAAAATAAAAAACTAAGCAGAATAGGTGTTTTTTGTTTTTGTTTTTTGCCATAAGTAAAAATATCCACAGCATATTACCTTTCCAGGAAAACTACATTGGTTGAAGGTAATTAAATTTGATATGTGTCCATCAAGCTAAAGTGAATTGTTAACCTGAGACTAAAAGGAAAAAGAAGGGAGGAGGAAGTTTGCTTACTAATATAAGATAAATTTAAAGAGATTTTCTTCTGCAAACCCACATTCATGCATATTATCATTATAACACATAGTATCATTATACCTAGGAAAATAGAGGGATTTTTACATTGTTGTAAACAGGATGCACTCATCAGCCTCAGGAGCCTCTTGTATTTGTAGCTTATCAGAAAATCCCTAAGTCAAAATTACTATTTTTCACTTCTTAGTTCTGTCACTTACTATTTGAGCAAGAGTATTTGAGGCAGGTATTTAGCCTCCCTGAGCCCCAGATTTTTCATTGCAGGATGGGGTAATAGTTGCCATTATAGGGTTTAATCCCTAGTGTTACTAGGATTAAACATTGGTATAAATGCACGTATACATCCAATTGGTTTAGAAGAGTGCCGGGGCACCTGGGTGGCGCAGTCGGTTAAGCGTCCGACTTCAGCCAGGTCACGATCTCGCGGTCCGTGAGTTCAAGCCCCGCATCGGGCTCTGGGCTGATGGCTCAGAGCCTGGAGCCTGCTTCCGATTCTGTGTCTCCCTGTCTCTCTGCCCCTTCCCCGTTCATGCTGTGTCTCTCTCTGTCCCAAAAATAAATAAACGTTGAAGAATCTACCCTTATCTTATTTAAAAAAAAAAAAAAGAAGAAGAGTGCCTGGCACACAGGACACATCAATAAACGCCATTTTTGTCATTGGTATTATCGTTATATAGCCCTGTTTCCCCATTTGAAAAACCTACCTTAATTTTAAGGTCTTCTTTAGGGCTGGAAATGGGATGAAATTGACGAAGGCACATTTACTTTTATTAAAAAATGAAATTGTTGGCCGGGTCGCAGCAGCTCGAGAGGCGGCAGGAGCGACAGCGGCCAGGCAGCCCAGCTTCGCGAAGGCTCTGGGCGTGCGGCGGACCACAGGCACCTGCACGCACGGGCCGCGCCACCAGGATGCCCAGGAGGAAGGTCAATTCCCCCGAGGGGGCGGAGAAGGAGGAGCCAAGAGGAGGTCGGCACGGTTGTCAGTTGCAAAACCTAGGGCTGCAAGAGTCGAAGCCAAAAAAGGCGGCGGGAAAGGATAAATCCTGAGACAAAAAAGTGCAAAGAGGAAAAGGGGAGCAAAGGGAAAACAGGTTAAAGTGGCTCAGCAAGAAACAAAATGACTTACCTGCAGAAAACGGAGAAGCTAAAAATGAGAGTCCAGCCTCTGATGAGGGAGGAGAGAAAAAAGCCAAGTCTGATTATCAGATCCCATGTCTTATCAGTGGCCACTGTCTGTCTCCCTTCCTGTACAGATCACAGGAATACTTTTATCAATTATTTTGTAAATCCAAGTTTTTTAGTAGCTCTAGAAACATTTTTAAGAAGGAGGGAATCCCAACTTAGCCCATTTTTTAAGTGTAAATGCTTTTTTTTTTTTTTTTTTTTTTTTTTTTTT